TATTATTATTATTATTATTATTATTATTATTATTAGTACTGTTATTATTACTATTATTGCCATTTTTCTTGTAATAAGGTATTGTGAAACTATGTACATTACATTACTTTATTTCTTTTTGCCTTTGAAATATTGACTGCTGAACACCGTTGCCACACATAGCAGTGACCAATTCGAAGAAAAAAAATTAATGTCTATAACTTTTAGGATAAAATTACGCATTTTTGTAGATGAATTTTTTTCTTGGTTAAAATTGAAAAAAATGCAAAAGTTTTGTTTTCCTTCTTGTCTTTTCCCGGTATAAAAGAAGCAGTTTTTTTCCTTTTTTGCTGTATCATATTAAAGAAGCAAAAAAAAAAAGCAAGAATTTTAGATTTTTTTTATACCTGTTATTAGATCCTTAGATCAAAGTGCTTTGTAGAGTTTTAGTTGTTTGATGATTCATCTTATATGCACTTCTCCATTTTTTAGGCGTTCCATAGACAGTGCTTATTCAGCACATTGGTTTTTTACTGTTCATAGACTTTATTTTATCTGGCATTTAAATAAGTTCTATTTTAAATTGCTTTTCTAGTGTTTCTTCTCTTTGCGCGTAGAAATTTTTTTGGTTTTCAACTTTGACTGTCAGAAACTTGATGACTTGTGGTTAAGTAATATACTGAACTGATAAGACAATAAAACTGTTAGAAAAAGATTGTTGCTTAAATATTCCGAGAATTTTGCCGTAACGTCGGAACAAAAAGTGAACATACGTTATTTTTAATAAGAAGCAGCTACTTTTTGTCTTTTTAGAAAATATATGTTTTAAGTTTTCTGCTTTTTTGCACCTTTAATCTATTCCGAAATTTTATGAGAATAGCTATTTAAGGTTAAAACATTTGCAAAAAAAAAAAAAATGTTTATTAGATTAAGTTTTCAACTAAATCTTTTGCTGTCTTTTGGATTATATGCTTTATAAAAGTTTGAAAATGAGCAACATTTGGTTTTGTTGCTCAAATATTAGATTTTTTCAATAGTTATCGGCATTTATGTTTCACTTACCTACATTTTTTATTGTTTCAAAAACAGTACCGAATAAACAGAAAAAAAAAGCAAATTTTTGAATGCCTTTGGATTTTTTAGCTTCAATATGACTATAAAAAAATCACACGTGAAATGTTTCATAATACATCAATTTTTTTTTACTAAATTGTCACTGCCTGTCTGCATAGGATCTTTGTTTCAAAATAACAGCAAAGTTAAAAGTTGTTTTTTGATGTGAAAGAAATCTGAAAATGATGCTTTTGATTCTAAACAAATTTTTTTCTATTTTAAAAAAGTTTGACTATTATTGAAATTGAAGAGATTTTGTTTAACTGTTTATTTTTAATAAGCTCCGGTAATACTGAGCAGCTTTTAATAAAACAGTTTCGTCTTTAGATTTGTTGGATTGAAAAACTGTCAGAGAAGTATTTATTCAAGTACAACTTGATTCTTGTCGGACTTTTTTTTGCATTAACATGGCGCAGAATTCACCTAAATTGTAAAATATTATACACATGAAAGCAGTTTACTGAAAAGTAACTAACATTTTCAATTATTCTATTTTTTAAAAACATTTTTTCTGCTCTTTACACGCAAGTTATGATCATATTTTTGAAAAGTAATGCACAACTGATTTTACAGCAAAATTGAGTTTTAAATTCCATGATTTTCAGCTGATTTTTTTTGTTATATCTGATAGTTACTATTGTAAAGCCGAGTTTGAAAAATGTTTTTTTTTCTACAACTAACATTAATTACACTGCTGCTTGGCACTTCCAAAGCCCAGGGTCCAACAAACTGTGTGACTCAGTGCTCTGAAAATGGCCATTACCCTGCCTGTGGAGCATGGTTAGTAAGTGATAATTCGAAGGAAGTTCAAGGAACCTATCGAGTAAGCACCAGTTTTTCTTTTTACGCTTATATTTACTTACTTAGAACTCTCAGAAACAATAAGTGTTGCAAAAAAAATTTTTAAGAGACTATATTAGCTTTGCAAAATTTTAAATCAAAATTAAAGGTCTTTAACAAAGAGTTCATATTATCACTGAGAAAAACTAAATTACCTGAGTGCATAGATATTAACGTTATTAATGGTGAAAATCAGTATATGAAAGCGATAAAATAACACGTCTTCTAACAATTCCGGGATTTTTTGAAGCAATTTTTTTGTCAGTATTAATTTTTGACTAATAGACCGAATAAAAATTGCTGTTAGGAGAAGACGCTTGCCGTTGGCATTTTCTATCATTCTGTATTTTTGTTTCTTAGAAAAATAAAAAAATTTCCACTTTACTTATTAAATATGCTTATCTAGTGAAGTCTGTTTTTCTTATTTACTTTATTAACTTCCCATTGGTTATTAAGTTTAGCTAAAAGAAGGATATCTGAACCTTACTTGTGTCATCAAGTCGTTACCAACGTCAGTGGACATCACCTGGTCTTATCGACCAGAATTCAGCACTAAGTGGGAACCAGTTGCTTGCGCTTCGCTGCACAATCAACAAGACTGTCGTGTAAGGTTGAACAGTAGTGATACAGCATTGTATCAAGTGTCTCGATCAACGTGTATGCTAAAGACAGATCAGTTGACAAAAACTGGCTATTACAGATGCCAGACTTTGAACAAGTCATCACAGAAGAAGAACTTTGTACTAAGGTTTTATCTGTTTTCTTCTTTTTTTTTTTCCCCCCCCCCCTTAAAAATTTGTTTTGTTGAAGAAGTTTTTACCTAAAGTGACTTCTTCTTTATCTTTTGAAAGTTTCTGCATCCCATTTTCACTTTTAAATTCGATTATTAAAACACAAAAAAAATTTTTTTAATAAATGAATTTTTTTCTGGAATTTTGATAATCAGCGTTTACAAGACAGCTTAAACAAATAATCCCGAAAATATCACTGCAAAAAAATATTTACAAAAACTGCATAACTGATTCGCGGTAAGCGTGAAAAGCGTGAAAACTGATATTTTTTAACATTTTTTGGTTTATTGTTTTTTAATTAGATCAGAAGTTAATTATTGCTTTTTGACCGAACAACTAACTGTTTTATTCTTTCAATTCAACTCCTCTGTGAGCACTCCCTATTCAAAATTTCTGTCATTTGGTTCTATACATAAGCTTCGTAATAGAGATCAATTTCTGTTAAGCTTTTGAAAAATTATTTTACTGTTTATTGTACCTCATTTCTGAGTAACCTTTACTTTTTATTTCTTCTCGCTGTGGTACTTCTTTACCATTATCGAGAAGAGCGTAAAAAAGAAAAAAAGTAGAAGAAGAAGAACAATAATGAGAGCTAGAAATTAAGAGTAGAACAAATGAAAATGTGGTAAAACTGAGTATTACGTGGTTTTTATGTGAGTTGCGTAGGTGAATCTGCTTTATTTTACTTTACTGCTCATAGAAAGCTGAACTTGCAGTGAAACACCTGGGATGTAATTTTTCAAGCTCTATATCGCGCGTCATTACTTTCCGAGCATTTTCATGCCGTAAAAGTAGACTTGTTAGACGTTGACCTATAAAGTGTCTTTTTTCATTAAACCAAAATAAAAATTTTGGTGTTTCATGCATCTTTTGCTTACAGAATTCTCTGTTTTATAAGGTTAGTATCACCTCAAACGTCACTAGTGTTCTTCCTTTTTTCAAGCTAAGTGCGTCCCATTTCAGTGAATTCACAATGCGTGAGAAGCAGGGTACACTGAAAGGATTAATACTTTTTACAACTTTGCAGAGCAATAGTTTGCTGACATTTCGCAGTGAAGCACAACTGTTTAAACGAACCTTCAAAAGTTAAAACATACTAAATTTTTATAACCGCTTTCTAAGACTTTCAAAAAGACTAAAGGCGGTTTTACCACTGTAAGAAACGTCAAGTTGTTGCAAAAGCAATATGTTTTTTTCACTCCCTCATTCTTTTTTGGTTGGTGGATCTCGACTGAGAAAAAACACTGCTAATAATTTTTTGATATTTTATAGAATAAAAAACTCTGCGTAAAATTTCTTCGTTAAAGTCAAAACTATGTTTTCTGTTTTTATTTGAAAATCTTTTTTTCATTTTATCTGTATAATTTTTTAACAAAATTAAACCATCTAATACGTATTTAGAAGTAAGAAAAAATGAAAATGAGATAAATTAAAAATTAAATTTGTAAAGGACAAGCTGAAATACAAGTTTGCAAATATAGACATTGCAAAGCGGTAATCAACAAATTTCGCAACTTTTACAGGCGTAATTTGAAGAGAACTTAGTTTTCCGAGTTTTCTCTGTCGTCTTTTTGTATCCAGTCCTAAACTCTAATAAATGGTAAAATTTGAAAAAATTCTGAAATATTGCCTATAAAAAGTGCGCCATTTGGTGTGGAATGGTTTTAGTAAACCAAAAAATTTTGCTAAGTTTATATATAATCCTAGCTTTTAGCTTCTGTTGAGAGCTGCAGAAATTTTAGATGCTGAATTCGAAGGGTATTTGGGTGCATTAGCGCATCAGCCACACTTGTTAATATGCAACCAACTCTGTACCTCACTTGCTGGAAAAATATTTACTTTATTCTTTTTACCAACCAGCAACAGTTCAACTAAGATAGCAGTCTTTAATAGCCTATTTGAATATAATTTTTGTAGTTCAGAAACTCCAATAACAGTCGTTGGAATCGAGTTTGTAGATACGGTTAGCAGTGATCTCCCATTCGACAAGGCCGGTCATGTTGAAGTGCAGGTATGTAACAAATAAATTTTTTGAAATAATTGAAAAATTTTTTTTTTTATTTTCAAGTTTTATTCAACAATTTTTCTGTATAACTGAAAAGAAAAAGTTGCATATGAAGATAAAAGAAAGAAAAATTCAAACTGAAAAAAATATTCGTGGAAGGATTACTATCGAATTATTCAGAACTTTTTTTTTCCTGTTTAATACAGTAGAGAAAATTTTATTTTGCAGTTCTGTGGTAACCCGAAGCCAGAAATTGTTTGGCTAACTCGAGGTGCAGTAATGCAACCAGGTCACAGCACCCATAGAATGACCTCATTGAAAACTCTGCAACATAAAGTGAGTTATTTTTGAAAAATTTTCAAGGAGTAATCTTTAGCTGGCACTCAAACAAAACGGCTCCACAGCTATAAATTTTTTAGAAATGGGAATCAAAACATTTGCAAGGACCTGCCTACGTTGTACCTTACTGTTACCGTACACGTCTAGTTATTGGTAAAGTTGAAAAAAATGATGGAAACATTTCTGTTGTGATTCGAAATGAAGGAGAGACTAAAGTAGTTCCGATGGATCTGCAAGTTACTAATCTTCCTAGTTCAGCTTCGCAATGGCCAATTTCAAGGCAGTTTTGGATTATCACTTTCTTTTCTTTACTACATAGTGTCGCTAAAGAAATGCTGCTAAGCTGACAAGTCTTTAAAATCTTCACATTTTTATATTTGTGAAAACTGTCTTTCAAACCCCGTCTACAAGTCACTGTTTGTTTCAAAAGTAAAGTGTTCTGACCTCAGCAACACCGATCCTCCTTCCACGGATTAATTTGTTAAAGATATTTTCCGCCCTGACATTATGTTTTAGAAGGTGTTTAAGATAATCTTTCTTCTGTTACTGTTGTCTTGAGATATACGTAACAAAAAAAAAAAAACGAAGTTTTTCTGCATAGTATTGCTGTTTGAAAGTCTCTAGTTCACAGTTTTTCCAATCACAATTTTTAACATCAAGTAAGAACTACTTCTGTAAAATATATAAAGAAGTGTTATTCCTATGATCAAAAATGAACAACCACAAAACATTTAAAATGAAAAGCAGTAGCAGTTCAGCAGTGACAGAAATTATTGCAAGATTTATTAAGATAAATTGCAAAAACTTACTAGCGATAAATTTTTCAAACTAAAAGGTTAAAGAATTAGTGCTTAACGTTGTCCATTCTAATTCTTATACTAACCTTCATTGTGCTAATTTACTTACAGTTAATTTCTTCTGTAAGATATATAAAGAAGTGTTATTCCTATGATCAAAAATGAACAACCACAAAACATTTAAAATGAAAAGCAGTAGCAGTTTAGCAGTGACAGAAATTATTGCAAGATTTATTAAAATAAATTGCAAAAACTTACTAGCAATAAATTTTTTAAACTAAAAGGTTAAAGAATTAGTGCTTAACGTTGTCCATTCTAATTCTTATACTAACCTTCATTGTGCTAATTTACTTACAGTAAATTAAAACCACATGCACCACCTAAAGAAAATAAATTCTGTTCAATTTTTTTTTGAAAAAATCCTCATTATGACTGGAGTGCCGCTCAAAGTGCGACTGTTTTAACAAACGCGTTGAAATATACATCGGAAAGTTACAGCAAGGGTGCTGACCAGGAAATGAAATGGTAGGTTTTACAAATACAAGGCAGAATCGAATGGGCTTGCTGCATGTCCCCTTCAAAAGACCCCACTCTCTACAGTCAGAGTTATTAGAGAGCCCATCTGACCCTACTTCACTTGTGCAAAATTTGTTATTTTCGTTGCGCATCAGTACGGTTTTCCAGCGCATTCCTCAACTAAATTATCCGATTATGCAATTTGTGCGGCGCCTGAAACCGTTGCCAGTGATAAGTTCACCACTAGTCCCCACTATAACTGGTACGAGGCATTAGTGGTGTTAGTGGATTAGTGGACTTATCCCGGCAAATCAAAAATCTTTTCAGTCAGTCTAAGCGACCTCTCTATCTCAGGCATGTGTAAGTCAGGTTTCGACAGGAAGAAACCTGTAATCTTGCCAGGAAAACTTTTATTGCAAAACTTTTATAACACCACTACTCTCCCTCCTGTTTGCTTATTATGTTGCTGACTGCTTTGACTGCTTTACTATCATTTTCAATTTAAAAGAACCGGCTCTTGAAGAAAAGTCGAGCAGCTTTTGATGGGTCCTTTACGGCTAGCTGATAAATGTGGCTTGATACGGCGTTAATCAGCTGACAGCTCTAAATGGTGGCTTTTATTTCTTGTTGACTGATGTAATGTTTCCTTATCCAAAATTTCCGCAGCATAATAGTATTTCAAACGTTGAGCATTACCCGAACTTCAAAACTTCGATTATTTCTTTTTTTGTGTGAAGCAGAAAGCATAAACAGTGATGTGAAAAAAAGTGAAGCAAAAAAGTAAACAGTTATTACAAAAGTTGCCAAAAAAACGCTGCATCAGCTTTTTATAATTTCTAAATAAAAGAAAACTTACTGCACAAAAGACGCACCACATATTAAAGTTTTTGAAATGATTAGAATATAGAACACTAAACAAAAGCCGACAATCATTTTTCGTCTGAGAATAAAACAAATTTTTGCCAAATTTAAATTTGTTACAATGTTATCATAGGTGATGACTAACACTCAGGGAAAAAAAGGAACAGTTTTCTAACCGTTGAAGGAAGAAAAGAAGCAAAACTTTTACTGTAGTCACAATGTTCTTTTTATCCACATTGCTTTAACCAACTTCATTTTCTTTATTTTGAATGTTTTGATGATGACAGCCTTTATAAAACTTTGTGACCAGTCTAACAGCATAAATTTTATAGCAAAGGTGAAGAAGAAACTATTAAACTAATAATAAAAGTGAGTGCTGTTTTTTAGTGACTCTAAAGTTGTTAACGTACTGTTGGAGAACATTGAGGTGAGAGAGTAGGAAAAACAGACATTCAGAGAAATTTGAGACTGGCAGTACAGAGTACGAACTTTAAAAAAACCTTTGGCCAGAGTTCAATTCGTCCCGCGTAAATCTTACCTTTAAAGTTCGCTCTTTTTCTCGCCATTTTCAAATTTCTCTGACTGTCTGCTTCTCCTACTCTCTAGCCTGAATGTGATGAAGCATTACTGTAGCTGAATTAGCATTTATAAACTATTCTGTTTTTTGATAATGTTTCACCACGTAAATTATTTATATTCATCTGGCATTACTTTCACGATTTTTGAATAATTATTGCACTAGCAGGCGTCGTATCAAATAGAGAAAAATAATAGAGAAATGAATGGAAAAGAAAAGTGGATTTCTTAATTATTTGTCATTGTATCGTAAATTCTCTAATTCGTAGTACCAGGTTTACTGCAAGCAGTTCACAAATACACAATTTTTTTTTACTGTTGGTAGCACCAGAAAACGGTAAAGAGGAGGTAACAATTACGTGTTCTTTACCTCATTACATATATTTAGCAGAGAAGAGCCAGATGAGTACGCAGAACACAAATAGAAATGCCCTGTACTTAATTTGAGTACGGATAAATAAATTGAGGACCCTCACCGACATTTTGCACGCAGACAAGTCTAATACAGGCCAACGATCTGTAAATTCATAGTCTGCTCTCCTGCACCCATGCTTGAGTTAACTAAAACCTGGGGCTTAATCACCTCTTTGCATCCACCAGACAGTCCCTTTGCTTATTTATTAAAACCCGAACATTTGCAGTACCCAATAATACCAAGAAGTTGAGCCAGCTGCAAAAATATAACTCGACGAGTTAAACGAATCTAATCTCAATATAAAGCTACACCTACCAGTGACTACGTCTT